GTGCTGCGGCAGAAGCCAGCAGGGAGCTAGTTAAAGGGCTGGCAGAGACCCAGGTGGCAATAGGACAGTACTGTACCTAGGCGAATTTGTAAGTTGCTTTCGCTGCTGGGGGCAAGCCAGGGCCTGTTTGGAGCTGGGGGGCTGGCAGCACCCAGCCACTTCCCCACAAGGCCCTGCATTTCCCCTGGAAAACCTAGTCCCCCTTTCACCAGCTCCTCCTGCATTATCCTGGGTGATGCTGAACTAGACCAGGGTGTGACCACCCCATCCTCCTTGAATTCAAGGAATTCTCAATCCTTGAGGAGATTCATGGCACTATTATGGTCCCAGAGCTATCAGGGCCTAGAAACTAGAGTCCATAGGGTCTCCCTTATGCATGGAGCAGTAAGGCCCAACAGCCATAGCCAAGGACAACCCATTGCCACCTAGGGGTGGAAGGCAGCCTGGACAGGGTACCCAGGTTCTCCCCACTGCTCTAAGTTCCAGCCCAAGGTCCTGTGAGTGGTGAAAGTCTCAGTCACTTTGGCTACGTCTACACTGGCACCAGTTTTCCGTTATAAGTATTTCCGGAAAAAGCACGTCTACATTGGCAGGATGCTTTTCCGGAAAAGCACTTTTTCCAGAAAAGCGTCCATGGCCAATGTAGACGCGCTTTTCCGGAAAAAAGCCCCAATCGTCATTTTCGCGATCGGGGCTTTTTTGTGGAAAAGACTACTGTGCTGTCTACACTGGCCCTTTTCCGGAACAGTTTTTCCGGAAAAGGACTTTTGCCCGAACAGGAGCAGCATAGTTTTTCCGGAAAAACACTGACAATTTTACAGTAGATCGTCATTGCTTTTCCAGAAAAGCAAGCGGCCAGTGTAGACAGCTCGCAGCTTATTCCGGAAAAGCGGCTGCTTTTCCGGAATAAGTGGCCCAGTGTAGACACAGCCTTTCTGTCATGTCCCTGGTAGTTATGGTCTGGGTCTGCATGTGGTCCTGGCACCTGCTGTCAAGGCCTCTGGTGCTAGAGCCTGCAGGGAACATTCTTTCTCTTCAGCTGAGTTAAGCTGCTGCCAGACTGAGTTAAGCTGCTGCCTTTTATATGCCTGCTACTTTTGGAGCATGCCCAGTAGGACATGGTGGGTGTGGCTTCCATAGCCCGTGCTGCAGAGTTCACCCAACCCAGTCTAGTGGGGGGACAGATGCAGGAGGGTTGATTGCAAATCATCTGAATTCCAGGGACTGTGCAGGTATTTGTGGGGCAGGATGGGCCCTGAAATCCAGCAGCTGGGAGGTTGTTTGCAGCAACTTGTAAACCCCTCCCCCCATCCCTTGCTTCTTCCAGGAGCCCCTACAAGAACATCTGGCCCCTCTGAGAAAAGAGAGAGAAGCAGCCAAAGCTGAGGTGCAGTGGCAAAGCGAGGAGCTGCTGGTAGGTGCCTGGAGCCCTCCTGCCCCTCAGGTTAGCCTGGGGTCACAGTGCCCTGAGTGTCTGGTGAATGCAGGGCCCAGCCTGCTGGCCTCAGCTAGGGACCTGTCCCCACTGGGACCCAGGGAGAGGGCAGGGCTAGTCACGTGGTGCCCTTCAGGTGCGGGAGGTGGCTGGGCAGGAGAGGGTCAGTCTATGTGAGCCTAGAGCCCTTGCCTATGGGCTGTTTGGGTGTCACAGGGACAGGGAGCGTTTCTAGCACCTGGAGAGGGGAGGAAGGAGAAAATGTGTGGGCTGCAAAGCTGGAGGGCTTGACTTGGGGCAAGCTGGTGAGAA